TATCTACAAACTCTGTGCTCTGAGGTAGTTGAGTCACACTGAGCTCTGTACTGTACTGGATTGAATGAAGTAGTTACTACAGTAACTGCATCATTCTCGGACTCGTCATAACATGTGCTTGTGGTTCGATTGGTGGTGGATGACGTGGGTAGTACTATACACTGAAATGGACGTGCATTTGTAGTACTCATAGTTGGGGAAACTAAAGTCCAAAAAGGTATTTTCGCTCCGAGTAAGCTGTTTCCGGTTTGATAATGAAGAGGGTGGCGGTGGGTGAGTTATGAATTGAGGCGGATAGAATTTGTCCCTATGTGCGTGTGAGTTCGTAAGTTCTGCCACCACTATGGCTTATTTCTGCTTTGCACGTATAAGGGATTTTACCAGCTTAGTTCCGTGATAGTTGCAAGCATACTCAGAGGTGCTGTGGGTTAATATTGCGTTGGCGTTTTGCTGCTTATCCCGATATCAGTTTCGTTGCCACACCCTGAGGGTTGAAATCGTACACTTTATCTCAGCTGGTTTAGCTGTATTTCTCTACATCCTTGTAGTGGTCGCTTTAGATTTGCTGATCTGCGAGCGTTACTGGAAGAAATTCTGTGACAGTGCTTTTCCGGACATTCGCCTCCTACTCCGTCAGATGTATGTTTGTTTTAGTAATATGTGTGTGACGATCTGAGTCTTGATTGTGAGCTCGAGAGGTTGCAGCTATAGCTACTTCCAGATTCTGTATAGGCTCGTGATTAGCTGACGAGATGGAGGAGATGGATGTGTAGTCTGCTTGTTACGGAATTGTCTCGGTTGCAGATCAGACGTTAAGCAATCTTGCATACCGATCAGCTACCAGTAATATCAACAATGTAGACCTGTATGCAGCAGTTGTAGGACGTGAATGGGCTCAGCCACCCGCAGGCCTTATAGGACAATTCTTGAGTGGAAAAGGTACAAGAAAAGTGATGAAAATGTCAGTCAGTTACGAAAGACAAAGGATACCCGACGTTCCGTTATGCCTGATTGAGTTGTCAGGAACTAGGTGTATGCCTTGATGGGACATACAGTCCGAGTATGGTAGTAATCCCGATTGCTGGATAACAAACAACAGCGCCGAACTAACAACACGAAAGCACGCGCAACAAACCGAAAGAAGTACGCACAAGAAAAGTCAAAGAAGCGCATGTCGGTTCTCATAATTAAATCAAGCAGCACAGTTTAATAGGTAGCCATCTATAAGCGCTACAATCCCCTCCGGAGCACCATACAATAAGAAGATCGCATTGGTAATTTCCATTTTTGAATCTGTTCAGTACACTGCATCTTCCAGTCGAGTAGTGCCCTATTGCTCGATGGATTTTACTGGCGATTACCAGCATAGTGCTGTTGGTTGACCTTCGGATACCAGTCGGTTGCGATGATACATAATAGAAGCGCCAACTGTGGAACAGTAGAGCATATAGAGGCAATTGGACCCAACATATATTGCACAGACTATAATGAATGTAGAGCGAATCAGCATGAGCGAGGGGTGACGTAGCGCACGACTTACCGCTGTAAAAGAATTCGAAGATTTGCCATCAGTAAGACAAATGGGGAGTTGGAATGTGCAAGCAACAAGGAAGTCCGTTGTTCTGTAAAAGTGAAAGTGTTAAAGTTTGCAAGCGCACCACAGTGTTATTTAGTTGTGACACGCGTTCAGGGTGTAAAAACTAATAACTTCTCATTGATGTGAGCCACTGACCCCAATGTCGGTAAACCCTTTTCCGAACTGTTTATTCCTTCGTTCGCTGACAGGTTTACCTGTCTCCTGCTCCCACACATTGCTGTAAACCGATACATATTAACCTCCCCTACATGCGCAGTTCATTTCACCTGTCCATGACCTCAGTCACGCCCTACCACAGCCAGTCCCGCACCGATTGCAGTCATCTGTCAACCTCTGCCTCCTTGGCAGTGGAACTATGATCCATTTGCTAAATGTCGCCGAAAGGTTGAGCTTATTCCATGTCAACGCTCGCCTTACACTCGCTTTATTCTTGTTACCAACCAATCTCATTATCTCACATGTTTGCTGGTAACGTTGTGTGCCTTGGTGTCATCACTTTGGGCTCCTGTTGCTCTGAAGCCTCTTTGGTTGGTTCTTTAATCTATGTGTTTACCGTTTTGGCTGCTTTAAGGATGAAACATATTGTTTAGGCTTGCATTATTTTTGCTGCCTAATTTGTTTGCTACTTGGGTGCGCTGTCTAATCAGGCCTTGCTGTTGACTTGACACCGGTAGAACCTCCGAACCCAAAATTTTCAGGCAAATTTTCCGCCTACACAAAGTATCATATAAACTGTTCTTTATAAACGGTCGAAAAGAAGTTGAAGCAGCTCAAATGTGATTTTTTTTGTGCGTTGTTATGCTTAGTAGGTGAGATGGTAGTAAGATCCGACTACAATGGTACCGATCAATTGGGTTAGTTGAACGAACTATAAGTCGACATCATGAAAGCAAATCGACCTCCGCCAACGTAACCAGATGGTAATCACACGAGCTGGATGGATGGTAGCGAATTAACTCAGTTTGAGCAAAGCTGACAGAGGGGTTGCAGACAGCCAGGAGGCTAATCGGTCGCTACCGTTGCTAACTAATAACGCGTGGACCAGCCAGATAAAGGAATCAGGATCAACTCAGCCTTGAAGGAACATGGAGTAGATGTGTCCCCTACAACGGCAAAACGGATCGGCTGGAACAACTACTAGCGGACGTCGAGTGCGCGCCGTCTAGACAGCCAATTGAGATTTGGCGCGCTCACTAAAGACAATGCGGACAACGCCGACGGAGCACTACACCATTGAGGCGGGCTGAACGCAGACAGACCTTGCATGCAGCAGAAACTGGAAATTAATCAATGTGCAGTTGCTGACGCCACATAGCGCCTTTACTTACGTACAGTATAAATGATGTTTTTCTTTGCAAAAAGCCGATTTTGATTGTTTCCCAGACGCTTTTGATTCTTGGAGCGTTGCACAACATTACGGAGTTGGAGAAGAGTCCGACACGTCGAAAACAGTACGCTCTTGATGGACAGCCGGTGATTTCACTTCCGACTGTTCTACAGATTTCTGTCAGCTCATTGCCGGACAACAGGCGTTTGTAGAAAAAGAAGTAGATGTACTCTGTTATGATGACCCAGTTAGTCCCTCATCTGAAGCCGTGTCAACTGCCAGTGTTTTGTTTCGCTATCGTAATGAAACGAGGTGAATTTTCCAGACTTTGAAACTCAGTTAAGATGAGGAACCAGATCTCTCAGAGGTAATCATGAGCTTTAGCGGATACTGTGAAAGGCGATCTAACGTGACATACCAGAGCTATTCGTTTACGCTCATAAACGCCGAGACCTAGATTACGCAGCTAAAGCTTCTGACACGAACATGTATTCACTATGATTGTCTGCGGGACTTTCTTGTACGCGATCGCATCGTTATCAGCGTGAAATTAATGACCTCACCTGACGCCTTCTGTGGCAGGAAAATTTATCTCAGTATCAGTGTATTGACATCTGCTTTAGCGAAACAAGCACAGGCCGCTAACTTCATCGTTTGCAAGTGGATTTAACAGAACTTTGTGCAGTATGTAAGACCAGCGAAACCCCATCCAAGGCATATGAGGGGCAGCAGGCTGCTGTCATTTTTGTGGTCATAGGCTGCAAAACCTAAAGGTGTGCTGTTCTGCTTGGGGCACTACCTCCATAAGTTTACATTGAAAATCCCTTTTAATCGCTGCTACATATCGGCCAACATCAGCGCGGTAGACTGTGAAATCAACAAGACACGAATGAGCTATCAATAAATGACAATAAACATTGTGGAGGTCCGAAATGCGTTTTTCGACCCAGTTGTTCCAAGGACGGTCAGTTCGTATTTAGCTTGATTCAGGAATTAGTTTCAAGTACTACCGCAGCAAATGTTTCGGAGTAGAAAGCAGTGAAACCTGAAGTTGCCTCAAGCTATGAAATGGCTCGAGGCTAATACTAATCTACTTCCTGGACAGGAGAGCTAAACCGTCTACTTTATGGGGAAATGCACGCGTTAAACATGTAAATCCTGCTTGTTGACTGGTCTCAGTATTACAGTCAAAAATTGGGTTCTTTTTGGTAGGATCCGTCTGATAAATATGGCTGGATTATGACTCGAACAGGGGACGTTGGGACTTCAACCAACTTCTCGACCTCTAGGTCACTGAGTGAAGGCGAGAAAGGCTCGTCACAGCGGTTAGTGGTCCCTCGGTGGAGTCCTTCTGTAGCACTTGTATTTGTGTGAATATACTGCACAATCATATGGACAGCGCTTCGCGTTTGAAGGAACCTATGTCAACTCTGTCATCTGGGTCGCATCTGAATGAGCTAAACGTTAGTTGTTAATGTTACGTCTGTCAGTTCGCACACTTGCTGGACAATCTTGCCTGGTGCATTTAGTGCGGCTGATTTGGTTCGGGTGATGAATTGTTTCTATGCGGGTACTAATTTGAGCGTGTTTACTTGTTTGGAATGTATTTCTGTTAAATAGGGTAGAGAAAAGTGCGCACCTGATGAACACTGGGCATTGGTCTAATCGTTGATTTTCCTAGCATATTAGCTGGGTCCATGGGAACGCTAACCCTTACTGTGGGACCTGGGTGGCCAACCTCAGTTCCCGGTTCGAAAATCATTCCGTCCTAGAACGTGTCGCTGTCAAGTCATCAACTTCGTCTGTTGCCGACATATTTGCTTCTAAAGACATCAGATGTGACAAGCTATCCGAGAATGGTGTGAAAAAACGGAATCCTGGAATAGTTTGCACAAAATAACCCAAAAGTGTGTGCGCTGTCTTTCAAACATGTGTGGTCATTGCTGTCTCGACTTCTTGTTTCAATCCTTCAGGTTAACGTTCGTGCGAATGCCGTGGGATCAGTTTCAGCCACAGCGACAGTAAATCAGAGACTGATAACACCTACTGTATTATCAATAGTTGAGAGAAAACCATTTGCACAAATGAATAATTTAGTTAATTACTCAAATAAAGTTACAGAACCGTTTCGAGAGCAGTTTATCAATGGATTTCTTCGTCGACCAGAAACCGCTGTATCAACGACACTCACAAAAGGGAGTCAGCGTTTTTACAAACATGAGCATCCCACGCTGTACTCGTCGGGATTTATTTTTGCAATGGCAGAAAGCACTTTTCTGAATAGACGTCTGTGATTCACTTTAACGTGTAGCTCCAGTTAATAGGATTGTGTTGGAGTTGCTTGATCTCGAACGCGATCGCTTCCTGACGTTCCCGCTTACGTGCCTTCTCGCGTTGCTCACTTAGCTGATTGAGGGAGAGACGGCGAACGTAAGAATATCAAGAATGTGCTTTATTTCATGGTGTAAAAAGAGTTGAACCTCAGAAAGCTTATCACACTGGACAGTCACCTGTTTCAGCCTCATGATTGCGCACAAACAGGCACAGGCGGACAGAAGCGGACTTGCATGTCTTGTAAGTGTACAATATTTATGCAACCTTAAAGGAACACGCTTCACTGGTCCTGATAACGAAAACGTCTAAACCAATTAAAGTGCACGTCATACATTTTTCAAAGAAACAAAAGTAGACAGCCCGTAATATCTTGGTGTAAATGTCCATTTATTTAAGGTTTTGTTTTGGTATGCAACCTGTGTGTATAGGACCCAACACACAATATGTGTTGGGAACTCCGTTCAATTGGAACTAGACCATGGTCACTTAATCCTTTGGGACTGTGTCTGAAAGGGAGAATTTTCAGTGTCACCTTGATTACGTCCGAGATAGTAACAATGGCAATCCAAAAATGACATGGCAACGGAAAACTTGGGCCTCTAGGGGTACGCTTAAGACCATTCCTTCAAGCAATACAAACCCCAGTTACAGATGAGCCAGTCTCGGTTGTTTCTTTCTCAGCCAAGTCAATTGTAAAAACGTCCGTTTCAAAAAGCGCCAACAAACCGGCAATATTTACGCCAGTCACCCACAGCTAACTGAGCTCCTAATTCGTCAACAAATACAATGCTGCTACACTAACGCTCAGAGCCTCTACTCTAAGCTTCCAAAGTATGCCATCGACATGAAACATCAAATTGGGACTTCGTAGCAGGGACTGAAACTTGGCTCTCGAACGACATACGAGATCCAGAGATTGAACGCAGTGGGATGTCAGTCATTCGAAATTATCATCCATCTTGCGGTGGCGCTGTTGTCATATACTATCGAGATTTCTTAAATGTGAGGCAATTACCGACCATTTCCCTGTTATTCCTGACGCATTATTTGCCGACTGTAGCTTGCACGTCGAGATGGGTGATCACAGAAAAAGACGAGGGATTCTTGTCTCTTGGCAGTGTCTCCAGGTCAACAAACTCCACCGAAGACAGTGATGGGATTCTGCTAAACGCACTCTACTACGCAGTTTTAAAACTACTCTCATTGCCATATAATGAGCGATTTTAACGTACCTTCAATTGTCTCAGTGTCCCCTAATGGACCATCATTTAAATCAAAACTTTGAATTCATGAACATGGCAGTCTTGTATAACCATGTGCATCAATCAATCAGACACCGCGGTTCAAACAAATCATCATTACTGGATCTAATCCTAACAAATGATGAGTTGATGGCTGAGTCAGTTGCACACGACCCTCCTCTAGGTCGTACTGACCATTCACTCCTAACATGTGGTTGTGTGTTATACAAGTGTGGTTGATAAAGAACTCAAAACTCAACGAACTATTACTGACTACTCCATGCTTCACAACCTATCGACAACCGTTGACTGGTGCCTACAGACTCACAGTTCGGGGAACGACGAATGAAATGAATTGAAAGGTAAAGTTAACTGGGTCACACGAGCAGCCACAAAAGTTGTACTCTTACGAGAATCACGCCGGACCAACAGTTGGATCGACGTAAAACACATAAATGGATCAACAGAAGAGATGAGATTTGCAAGAAACATGGGATAACTCATGGCAGAATTACAAAACATTCAGCAATTACTGCACATCACTTATTAGCGTGGACAAGTACGAATAGCAGGAGAACATGGTACCCAAGATTGCGGGTAACAACAAACTGTTATACAGGTATATGACCGCTAAAAGAAAGGTTAAACCTGGAATATCAGGACATAAGACGGCTAGTGGTTTAACGACTACTGCTGTGAGTACCGCGAACGGTCTACTCCTACAGTTTGGAGCGGTTGCTATAAATATCATGGGACCTTTAGTCTATCAACTCCCAACAAATACCGTCGGCTTATCCAGTGTCAACCTTACTCCAGATGCTGTCGTGAACAAAATAAAGTCTCTCCGCAAAAACATTGTCTCAGAAATCAACAAGACCTGCCCAAAGGTACTTCAAACTCTTAACCCGACCATAGCAGTATATCTTGCAGCGTTTTTCTAGGGTTTGTTTGACTCCCTTCCACTCCCGTCTGAATGGAATTATGTACTCATCACTCGGCTATACTAAGGGGGTAAGAGATCGGATCCTATAAACTACCGACCTATTAGTTTCCCACCTGTTTTATCAAAAGTGATGGAATAGGTAATCACAGAGGAATTGACGCAATATTTTGTGAGTGCAAATAACTTTTAATGTCCAACATGGTTTCAAACGCAGACAATCTTGCCTCACCAACCTGCTCGTTGCTCGAGATTCATGGACAAGAGTAGGTGCTGAAGGAGTCCCCATAGATGTGGTTTACTTAGATTTTTCTAAAGCGTTCGACAGGGTCAATCACTTCGTTCTACTACAAAAGCTTTCTGCATACGGTATCAACGGTTCCCTACTCACCTGGTTGGAAGTTTACCTACAAGACAGAATCGTCAAGGTAAGAATGGCCAACACTCACTCCGAAAGCCTGTGCGTATACAGTGGTGTTCCGCAAGGTTCCGCCCTCGACCCACTACTGTTTTTACTTTACAAAGATGACCTCACATAAAACATTTTATCCCCAATGCGGATATTTGTAGATGATACTACAATATGGAGCGCGATTCACTCAAAATCTACCGTGCCTATCTCCAGAACGATCTGGACCGGATTAACGAAGGGGCAAAAAGGAATCAGCTCCCACTGAACCGTACAAAGTGTCACCTTTGGACGGTGCGTAGCAGCTTCAGTAACACATCTCTTTTGACACAGTATACTTTGCAACAGGTGACTAGTAAACGCGACTTAGGTATAATCGTCCAAGGAAGACTTTGCAATTCGCTCTAATGCTCGAAAGCAGCTAATGTTGAGTACTTTAACTGGTGAGTTTTGAGACGAACTCTCGGTATCGTTGATCAACACATATCTTTGTCCCCAGGTTGTAAATGCGGTTCTGGCCTGGCGCCCATGGTTAAAACGCGATATTCGTCTCTTGAATCAACCGCATAGAAGAGCTATCATGGCAGCACATGGACTATCTGGTCTCGGTTACGAACGGCACCTTCGATTGCTTGATATTTTCTTCTCAGAATACTGACGGCTTCGCGGGGATCACGTTCTCACATAGCGGATACTAAGTGAAAGCAAGCACCCAGGTGCATCCATGCTGACCCTAGCGCTTCACAAACAATGTCGAGGTCAGCAACTGAAACTAGTGACACAACACTCCCGTTTGGATTGTAGGAAGTATTGTTACTCTCTTAGAGGCTGTTCTCATTGGAATGCACTACCAACACATGTGGTGCACGCGCCAGACATCGCGACATTCGAGAAACTGCTAGACGTTCATCTTATTGCTAAACGCTACACAACGGCGTGATGAAGTGCGATGTCTTTAATACTTACCACTCACGTTCCACTTTGAAACAATTTAGCTTTTAAGTTTCCTGTGCATTTTCCATCCTGTGGGCTTCGTAATGTGTTACGTTTTGTCCCATCGCACACTACTGAACTATTAAACATTACGACCAGTTGCGAACCGACCCCATTGGTCCAGTGCTCAAGGTTCCAGCCGTCAATTATTGCGTCTCCATTCCTACTCCAAAATCCAGTTGAATTTATTAGTTTGTTTCAGCAACCTACTTAGATCTGTCCGTTTGTACCCGTTACACACATGTGCTGGCTCCGAGCGCGACTCACTTTGTCAAAGTCATTGTTCGCCTTCAATTCAAATTTAGATCCTTTTTACATGGTAGCATTGGGGCGGTGGGATGTTTACGTGGGATGTGTGTCTGCTCTTGTAACTATATTTGTTGTTTTCTTCATTTAACCATGTAACTCGGTAGATGTATACTCTGCCAACTAACGGGGACCATGTAATTTTCTCTAAAACACATTAGTTATATGAATTTGTGGCTGCATGCATAACGAATCGATAGCCTTCGGAATAGGTTTACATAGACCAACTTTATCTTTTGAAGGCATGTGATTAGAAACTATATGTTTATCTCATTTGGTCATCTGTCAAGCCAGTCGCATTCAAAGTCTTGGCACGGTCATACATTCACGTCCTCCTGGAGAGGGAATTCAACCTGCAAGCTATCTAATTCGCAGCGTCTCAGCGAGCGTCTCAAGGGGGAGCTGCAGAATATAATCGCCAGCCTACAGTTACACAAACATGTCTCCTCCTCCATACGATATAGAAATTGTGATGAACCATCTGATTTAGACGTCATACTTACCAACCAGGAACTAAGAGGCGATACCATATCAATAGTACACCCCTTAACCACAGTGCTCGTGAAACGCTACTCATCTGGTACAGCTGTTAGGGAGAATACATCAATGTAAACGCCGATGAAGCACATGTTCTCACTCTTTTCCACATCCTGTCTGACCCCGTTTGTGTGAACACTTGGTCGCTCCTAGTCGGATATCACTTCCCTCTGAGGTCGTCTGGAGGGAGTTTGTCCCACAGTTCCCCAGGCTAGTGGCTAATGCTTCGGGAATCAGTCTTTCGAACCAATCAACCGAACAAGGGAACAATGGTTTATACGGTTAAAATAGCTAAAACTTAACAGGTCCCGTAAGCTGGTCATTGTTAAACGTCAAAATATAGAAAAATGTTAGGAAACTTGGGTTTACACCGTGCAAGTAACGGAGGTATACCTAGTTTAAGTTGTAAATCCAAGCTGAATCCATAAGGAATGATGGCAAATGGGATGTTTGTAAACATCGTGTCTTTTTCTGATGCACATATACAGCAGGTAAAACGTGAAATGAAAGCTGGGTTTTGGTCACCAGTGAATTCGCTTACAGACACTTTGCGTATCCATGGGTAATTAGTCATTTGAGATGGTGCAGCGAAATAAGTTCGCAAGCAACACGTGTTTTAAACTCCACCAACGCGGGAGCACATATG